TTGATCAACCCGGCAAAACAAATCCGGCACAAGAAAATTAAAAAGGCGAATAATGTGAAAAATACGGAAAACGAATGGGTAAACCTAGCTTGAAAGACTAATTAAAAAGGTCGGGAAGACAATTTTACATGTAGCCTTTACTCCAGTTCTACTCCTATTAACTGGTCAATATTCATGATCATCCTTTATACGTACATGTACGTACTCATTGAACATGAGTATGATAATCAAAAGTTGTTCTACTTTACATGTACGTAATCAATTCGCGCTTTCTTTCGTTGTTCTGAACACAATTTTTTCTAATCCAGACGATCGTTTTGTAAAATCCAGAATTAGAATGTGATCTTTAGCGTTATTTATCGATTTTTGACTACATGCATTGCTACAGAAGATAATTTAGTTTTTCTTTACTCGCATTGTGCAAGAAAAAAGTGAAAATAGCAAAAACAGGTAATTTTATTAATTCAAATATCGATATCGATATACGTATATACTGTAAACTATAATTTGTATCGCACATTGACTAGTTCAATTTTTGGTTTTTATTAAATTTGACTTTTTCATTGAATAAAATGAAAAAGAGAAAAGAAAATAATAAAAATAAATTAAAAATAATATCGTTTTAATTATTAATAAGTCCTCAATCAACACAAACTCCACCCTGATATGATTCGCTAATGCAATCAGCGTCTTGAGAGCAACCCTCTTCAACATAACACTCCTCATCATCGTTCCCAGCCTACACACAAACTCCATTCTGACATTTAAAAGTGGTATTGCAATCAGCGTCTCAGGCGGATTGTTCTCCGCTCCAACAGTACCCTACACCGCTCCCAAAACATTTTGACACAACCCAGAATCTCAATCACTGTTTTGGTGCAAGGAAACCCATCACCCGTCCCTGACATCGCACAGTCAATAATTTCATCTCTCAGTCTCAGTTTTCCTTTCGCATGCGCAACTATTTAACGAATATAAATTAATCATTAATGCAACATGATTTAAAACTTAGTCAATGATTGCTTGATAAAATTTAGTTTACGTTTATCGGTGAACAACAGGGCCATGTTCACTACAATGCAAATGAAAAGAGATAAACAAAAACGATGCTTCATGGTCGTAGCAAGGAATTTAGACGTTGTGTTTAGTTATTCTGGTTTGCTTGCTTCAGGGAAAGGACATACTGTATTTGTATATATTCCATGGATACTATGTATACACCGGGACAGCATAAACTAGCATCCACAAATGATTCTTATTGGTTATTATTATTCAATTTATAACAAATACGTACAAAATATTCTTTTTGACATAGTTATAATTTGGTTATCTCTTTATCACGACGACTTGCATTATTATTATAATATTAATAGCTTGAGTATTGGGGAAAGTTGAAACTCTTTTAAAATCTCTTCTCTCTCTTTTAATAATAAGAAACGTATGACGAATACATGAGTTCCACTGGTTATCGATATCGCTAGATACGTACTGACGCTAAGTCATTTGTTTTCCTAAATCGTCGTTATGCATTTTTATACATGTAATCTGCATAAAATCCCGACGAATCATCTATCGCTACGTATTGGATTTACAGGTTTTGGCTGTGCAACTGGTACATGTAATAAAAAGCTTTTTTTATCCGACGACGACGACGTTATCGTTACGTATACGTAGTATTATTTTTGCGCAAGTAGATAAAATATGGCGGAAGTTACAGTAAATTTATCTTCATTTGACAAAACTGAAAGTACCGGAACCTCATCAACAGCAGAAATAGAAAGTGATGACCCGATTATTGAAAAGATTATAGAAGTTAAGAAATTATTCTTCATATTTTTATGTGGAATCTTAATTTACTATTTTAAACATTCAATAAACCAATACATATATCCAATTCGAACAATATTTGATATTGGACGCAATAAAGTTGATGAACCAAAAAGAATATTTAGTATTTTAGATAATGCTGATGAAGCACAATATTTTTCAAAAAAAAGTAAAGCTCAACTACAATATTTACTTGGTTACTGTTCTAGAGTTGGGTATGGAACAGAAAAAGATGAGCATAAAGCATTTGAATTGTATTTAAAATCGGCAGAAAACGGTAACGCTAAAGGACAATGTGAACTTGGTCACTGTTTTGAAGTTGGGATTGGGATAAAAAAAGATGAGAACAAAGCATTTAAATGGTATTTAAAATCGGCAGAAAACGGATACAATAAAGGACAATATGAACTTGGTCGCTGTTTTGAAGATGGGATTGGGATAAAACAAGATGAGAACAAAGCATTTAAATGTTATTTAAAGTCGGCAGAAAACGGATACGATAAAGGACATGATGCACTTGGTCGCTGTTTTGGAGTTGGAATTGGGATAGAACAAGATCTGCACAAAGCATTGAACAATAAATACCTACCGCTACTACTACTAATACCGTCAAACTACATCGTTATATCGGGGTAAGAGAAAAAAAGCTTCACTATAGCTTATATCGAGAGAACATATCTTCACTATATCAGATTATTAAAAAAATTCTCCAGTGAGTTATCTTAGTTTTTTTTAGCTAATTGCAATACGAATGAAATATAGTGTTTGTAATATACATTTTTTATCCCTTAATCTGTAGGCTATTTTTGCAAATTTACCTGGAATAATTTTTTGTATTTTAAAATATCATATATAATTTGCTTTATTATTATGATAAATTCAAAAATTATCACAAAACGGATAAGTTGTTATAATATTTATGAATTAACTTATTAAATTTACTGGTCTTAAATATTCATTAAAATTCAACATTATCTTTATTTAATTTGTATTTTATACAAATTTGTCTGAAAACATATTGGTAAACTATTATATTATATGGATTTTACCAGGCAAATTTGCCTGGAATGCGGATTTTTTATTTCATAAAGATCACAAAGCAATACATAAATATAATGCACAATTCAACAGTGCTATTTTTATCCCATATTATACATATACGTACTACCACAATCACTTATAGAAGTCTAATAATTATTTGATTTCAACCGAGAAATCTAACTAACAATAGTAAAAACTTAATCATCTCGCATTATTTTGATATATGAAACAAAGTATATTTTAAATAAGTAACTTGTACATGTATACTCGGATGCTATAGATTTAAAAAGCAGGTTTTCAGTAAAAACCGCTTTCTTTAAATCGCACAAATGTAGGTTAAAATGAATTATTTTACTTGTAAATTTGAAAATTCTCATTAACAATGTACATGTATTATAAATACATTTTAATACGTTTTCTGTATATCATACGTATACATGTACTAATTTCAAACATCCATTAAAGTAAGTTACAATTGTGAAAATTTTCTGCACTGTCAAACAAATATATAAAATTATAAAATTCTCTTAAGACAAATATCTAATTAAACATTATTATTTATACACGAGTAATCCTTAAATCACAAATGCATTTAAACATTCTCAGCACATTTTTCCTCTATTATCAAATTTTTGTATACAGTTCCCGGCGAAAGTAATGGAGACAAGTTTTTTTTATTATATTTCATTTAATTGTAAAATTAAAAAATTATTTTAAAAAATGCTTCTAAAATATCAGTACTTTGTGTCTCTTTTTGTTTCGATGTAAGTTCGAATATAATTTAATGGTTTAAAAATTTTGTAACTTGAACTTTTTAACTAAAAATAAAAACTAAAAATCGATAAAATTAAAATGAAATTACTACCAAAATGTTCTTCTTATTGAGGCGTGACCAAAATTACAAAAATCTGACGTATTGAGAAAATTTAAAAACCTGCAATCGGGAATGACTTGCCGTGATGTGCTCCTATTAGATTTTCGCTAATTCAGCACATTTTTATTTTTTATTATCTTGCTAGAAATCTAGCTCTATTATTTATATATTTTGCTTCTATAAAAAAATGCTAGTCTTATATTAAAATTTGCATCAGAATCTCACCACCATTACTTTCGCCGGTGACTGTATTTAATATTAATTTAGAAAACAGTTAGAATTTTTATAAAGTAACATTTGATATGTTTTAGACTGTTTGCACCATACGCATAACTATTACATTAATATCTACGTAATGTAAACTTTATAGCTTATATGCATAAGTCTCCCGATGTATGGTGCATAACATCTAAAGTCATCAAACATTGTATTTTATAAAATGGATAAACTTCTTTAATAAGGAGTAAATATAAACTTTAATCCGTGAATAAGTTCAGAAAGGGCCTATTATATCATATTCATGGATTAAATTTTGTATTTACTTCTTAGTAGAGAAGTTTATCCATTTTATAAAATACAAACATTTGATGATTTTAGATGTTACGTATGCACCATATAACGCTATCTTTATCGTTATGTGATCATATCATATGATTTCACCTTGACAACTTTCCGTTTGATTCTTCTGGCACGTTTTATTAGACGTTTATTGTTCATTTTATGAATTTGAATCTAGCTATTATTGAAAAACAAAAATAGTCCGATTATGAGCAACCCATTTAAAAAATTTATGATCATATTTTTCAACAACCAATGATTCAAATTCAACAATCTATAGCTTGCTAAAGTTTCATCTGTATTGAAGCAATGTTTATTGGATAAGCAATCCCTTCGAAATCGTGCCCAAAAAAGGATTCTTATAATCTGTCATATACGGCAATACTCATGATTGTAGATGCTATTATTGTCTTTTAAATTACTGCTGCGGCGAGTGTTTAAATTCTCGCATGTTTCTATCGTCAAGAACATAAGTACTCTAATGAGTGTTCCGATCACAATACCTCATGATTGTACCGTTTGTCAAACAAACGAATACTGTCATGAACGTTTTCTATATGCGACATTTATAAAGGAGTACGACCTATGTTACCAAATACTATTCTTTGATGGTGCAAATTTACTATTATTAAAAATGTCCCAGAAAACAGATTAACTGCTAAGGAACTTGACGGTTCTGATTCATTGATCTAATGATATTGCTTAAAAGAGCTTTATCGGTTCTATCTTGATGAGGAGATGAAATTGCAAAAAAATTCCTATAAATAACAAGTCCACACAATGCAGTTTTTCTTTATTTCTATTCTAAATATCATCTCAAGTTAATTAAAAAATTCTATAAAAATTCTATCGAATATTTAGACTCAACAAGTGTAGTTTCTATGTTCGAAACGAAGGTAAAATCGCGCTTTAATATTGTTAGTTTTGTATCAGCAAATCAATATATTCAAAATACATGTACATGACTGCATATGATATGAGTTTGAGATTGATATCAGTATTAATTAAATCGGATGATTACAGTATCACTTTCGTCTCAGATAAAATACGAACAAAATAAAAATGACAACCGACTTGTTATTGACTTCATACTTAAACAGACTCGATAAAATTCTAATTCTTATGACATTTTGATTATTGTTGGTGAAAACCAGAATACTCAACGTACTTTTTCAGCCCATTGGGGCAGTCGCATTATTTTACAGTAACACTTTCTGATGCATGGGTGAAGCGAGAACCGAATAATATTATTGTTTTTAAGAAGCCAAATATCGAACCTCGAGTTTTTGAAAAATTGCTAAGATAATCTCATATCAAAAAGAAAATAATCCTATAATTTAAAGCGAATTGTTTGTTTAAATATATTACAGTTTCAAGATCGATTACGAAACCATAGTGATTTCGACACTTTTAGATTTATTAGTCGCAGCCGATGAGTTGATTCTCGAGGATCTGATTGAATATATTCAAATTTATCTCTCGAACACCATTCTAAATCTTTAACAGAGCTTTGCCTTAATCAATAAAATTACATTCGAGCATCACTCTTTCACCAAGCTTCAAAAATTATTTATCCAGCTGCTGTTTTTCAATCAACAAGTTACATGAATCAGCACTAGTTTGCGTGACGACCTAAATCGACCTTTGGGAAAATGCGCTTGAATGGGGAATCTCTCAAGTTGATACAGGCGAAATTGATCTAACGATTCCGGCAGAAAAATGGACACATGACGACTCGAATCTACGCACAAAAATTGTTTACCATTGATTCGTTTCTTCGATTTTTATAACAAAGTTCCCGCGCACAACAATTGTCTTTAAATTTGCTGCGAGACTTTTTTGCTTATTATATTAACCATGAATACGCGTCAAGATTGAAATTTCCGGAATTGTCACACGCTTAAAGATGGTTTCTGGTCCCACACGTCCTACACGGTCTTTACATATCAGTAGCTTATATAATAACATACTTTCATTATTTTCGTTAGTCATTAGATTGTTAAAACGAATTACGATTAGAAAAAACAATCGTTACTAATGATCACATACTAAATAGGTCTTTTTTCTCATAGTTACAAGGACTAAAGGACTTCAGTCCTACACAAAGAATGACCAGTCTGTCTTTTATCAAGACTGGATCGCAAAGACTACAGTCTTTTAGGACTGGTAACCATCTTTACACACCCCCTAATGTTTCAGGCGAATGTTTTGCCCAGTGAACTCTCATCCGAAGCCCTAATTTGGAAAAACTTTGTAGATCAAATCTGGCGAAACTCTAATACTCATTTTCAAATGACTGATCATAGCGATAGGTCATAATAAAATTGAGGTCAAAGAAAGATTCTATTTTGGGTAGATTGACTTTTTGGTTAAATAACTGATAATCACAAAAAAGAAATCCTGCCTGCTTGTGCATAATGCAATAAACGTAACAGTAATTGTTGCGTGTTTAATAATCAGATGACTAACGCTAATATTAAAAAATGTAACATAAAAAAGCAGTAGCAAAATTAGCGCAAATGATCACCATATTTTATTTGAGGCAGAATTAGCGCAAATGATCACACCACCATAGCAAAAAGAGTTCCTGTTATAGTCTATATCGAGTTTATTTTATTTTATTATACGTAACCTTTAGCATAAATGGCGCACTTTATTTATAAGCTAACATAAAAATACTATAATAACGGTAACGATAATAGTACGTATATAGAACATAGTACATAATTCATTATAAAAGGAGGAGGAGGTATCTCTCAACAACTTCAAATTCTCTCTTCTCACAAAACAGAAAGGCTTTTAATAAAAAACTGAATCCTCAAAACTATCTTCTCGAACTTTTTTACCTCTCACAATCTAATAAAAAATGGATCACGGATGCAAATGTGATACTAACTGCCAATGTGGGGATAACTGCCAATGCGCCAAAACCACTACCACTGTGAAAGAAACAACCGCTCAGCAGCATGTGTATGTATTTTTTATTATATATATCAGTTACTCTAGCCAGCATTATTCATGACTTTTTTTTTATTTTTCTCTAGTTGCAAATGTGGCGGCAAATGTGGCGACAAATGTGATTGTAGTAACAACTGTAGTTGCACCGCTAGTGGAAACTGTCAATGCGAGTCACATTAATTTATGACTATCTCTATCATCGAAAAATTTATATTTCCCTGTAGCGTTAGTATAATATATCCATGTTGCATATAATAACAAATACATGTAATAAACATTAATTCCTAGCGCAGTTTCAAAAATCATGAGTTATTGATTAAATAAAAAGTTGTTGTAATAAATAAAACACGACTTTATTTTCTCAAATAATATACTTGTCGCGTCATAACTAAAAAATCTTGATACGCATCAATATTAAAAAATGGCAAAGACAAAGAAAGCGGCACAAGGCTCGTCTGGAAAAGACGACAGTTAATAGCCACCTCACAAATTAATAAGTTTATGCGTTGTTGATAAAAAGACTTTTAACTGATTTGTTATTTCGTAAGCCGAACAAATGGTCTTGGACTATCAGAACAGACCTTACGTTCGTTATTTCAGTATCGAAATGTCATCATTCTGCCGTATGCAGGAACTTTACCAGAAACACTATATAATGATTTATTGCATTATTATTTGGTGCCAGGAAGTGAAGGCCATCAAGTCACCTTGCACCTAGTCCGTAAATTTTCATTTGCTCTTTCGCAGAATCAGATCTTTAAAATAATTGACTGGATTAAAGAACAAGATAGTCAGAAAAACAAATCAATTTAATGGAACTGCTATTACGAGGTAGCCACGGTGGATTCAAGTATAAAGACGTTCATCGTCTGTGTGATAATAAAGGTCCAACAGTCGTTGCCATTCACGCAAAAGATAGTAAAAATATTATTGGTGGTTATAATCCGTTTTAAGGGGGTACATTTACTAAATACTACCCAGTTTTTATATAAATTTAATTCTGATGACATTCAAGCTATCAATGGAGTTCTAAATAAATATAACAAGAAACGAGTGTATGGTGTTTGGTCCGTGTTTTGGAGTGGTGATTTAGCTTTGGATGGTCCCGATTTCAATACTTCTAAAGTTACTGAGCGAAATACTCCTACGATCAAGCTCTGGCAGTAATAAGTTAGTTTTAATTTTCGGTTATTATGTCATGTGCAATACATGCCATCGAAATTATTGATATTAAATCCTTAACGTTAATAGCTTAAAATATCATATACATGGTGTTGGCCTATAACCTAAGTCATAGAATATTTTCAATATGAACTACCCTATAAAAAAATAATCAGGCAAAATCTGTTTTTTTAGTTGCGGAAAACTACAGGTTTAGTTATAAAATTTTCGGGTTAAAAACAGAAAAATGTATTAGCCTTGACGAATCGAATGTTGGTATTACTTAGATTGAACCTGTGAATCACGAGATATCGCGTCCCATACGTAGTTACAGTATCAATTTTTTTCTCAAAATTAAAATGAATGTATTATTTCCAAATTTACTATCGTTAAATTTACCTAGTTTTTGGTGAATTCAATGATAAAAAATAATTATAAAATATCATGTTTCAAAATTGCTGAATTAGTTCTGATTTTTTGAAAAAAAAACTTATTTTAATTTGCAACACTTAATTTGAAGTGTGATGTCTCATGACCAAAAGGTCAAATTCATTCACTATTCATTAAATCTCAATAAATATGTGTCTTTATTTTATCCAATTTGGTTTAGTAAGTCATGAGACATTGATCCATTTTTAAAAAATGAAGAAAATAAAAAAATTCCCCAATAACTTTGAAATATGATATCTTATAATCCACAGATTCAACAAAATTATCATTTGATTTATTTAGTCTTACTAAAAAACTGGATTTTTGTCGGATTATTTTTGGATTATTTTTTTTATAAAACTACATAAGTTATATAAGTATATAAGTATATAATTATAATAAGTTATAAATTATAAAAAAAATATAAATTTTGAGAGATTATATTTTTTAAATTTGAATATTAGTTTGCTTATTATTAGATAATATGTAAATATATTATTACAAGTTTGTATACTAATTATGGAATTAGCTTACAAACTTGAACAAGAGTTATAAATCGTGTACATGATTGGAAAAACATGCAAATAGCACACGATAAACTACGTATTCTGTCATTCAACAAAAGTGTTAATATTGATAATAACCAAGAAACCATTGCCAATGTAATGTGCTAGTAACTGATATTGATACAAATTTGAATGATATTTATGAAACAACAAAAGTACATGTAATGAAACAGATACGGATTCTCAATTTGATGACAATACTTCAATTGTTTCTATACCATCTTGACCACGTAGTATCTCTACGAATTCAACTAATCAAATTATAATTTTAACTAATCAATATACAACTTCAACTATTCCAACGAAAAATCAACATATAATGAAAAACAAAACCAAAGACCAGTTATGTCATCGCTTGCTGTCGTCGTCGTCGTGATCTGTGCTTGAGAATCGCGTTTGGGTAGAATCGATTCTTATCCCTATACTCTTTTATAATTGGTTTTGTTTCACATAACTTCACGTTTATCATCAATTCGTTAAATATATTCTCTCTGTGATCCCACTCGTGTATGCTTTATAAAATGTCCCTTTTGGAAGATATTCAAACATTAACGTTAGTAAATCGAATCTATTCGAAAGATGGATATTCCAATTTCCGCGTATTCCTTTATTAGACTGTCGATATCTTTATTTCGCTCGACAATTCGACTTTATAATTAATTTGTGATAAATTATTACAATAATTTTAGTGTTTTATTTAAAATCTGAATTAACGGTAAAATAAACAATATTAAAAGAACATTGTCTCTATACCGAGTTCAAAAGAAGATACAATACGGACAACTCTTTTACAATTTGCACGCAAATATTTGACAATTCCTGCCACATCAGTACCATCTGCATGTCTATTTTCAGATGTGGGAAACTTAATTACATCTGAACGAAATCGATTAAATAGCTGTTTGGTAGAAATTAATTTGTACAAATTTTCCTAATACGTACAAATAAATAAATAATAAATTTCGATTCGTAATAGGATCTACGTACTGTTGCGTGCTACTATTTTAATTGGTCAAAGAGGGGTTTTTACGCAACTGGGATGAGAGCTAGACTGAATTATTTACGAGTAAAGGGTTTCTTTGGGTGT